ACATTGTATGCAGAAAATGAATAAGGGGCTTGTTTCCCAGGTTTCCCCACCAACAAAAACACAGCATTTGGATAAGCAGCTGAAAATGCCTCATCCAGCACTTGCATGTCCTCATCTGCATTATCATAGTACTGGTCCTGAAAGACTGCAGGGTGTTCAGCAAGTGATGGTGACAGGTCTACATCAAAAATGACTGGTGCTGTAGCATTATCTGAACCCATTGACCCTCCATTTTGAACAGCTGCTGATGATGGTAAAGATGTGGCAATAATTGACAGGGCCTGTTGTCTGCCATTGGCCTTCACTATCAAGGTCTGCTGCCCTAATGGACCATGGATGTGTTGTGTATGATTGTTTTTATTTTCAACATCACCCAAATTGGCACTGGGATGACTGGCGTTGTAATTGTTCATCATAAGTTTCAGCCCCTGGTCTAAAGCATTCTTGTGTAAACGTGGCTCATACCAGCTCATTGTTGTATTTGATTGGAAAATGCGTTGTAGAAAGTGGAATGACGTGTCATTGTTTTGTAATGACTCAATGCTCAGCTGTGAATGAAACATATGCAATCATAGCACCAACAGACCCAGAAACAACAGCAAAGAGTAGTAATTGTACATAACCCTAACTCGGCACTTGTGTCTTTTCCCTTCTATCTTCTTTCAAAATTAACACAAATATGGTAGGATAGAAGAAGGAACATGTCTGTTCAAAATCAAAAAGCTCATTTCTTAAGTGAGTTACAATTACAGTATCTCCCTTTTGAACAAATAACATCTGTTAACCCTTGTGTTGCAAAGTCATGCCATTTTGGGATAATTTTGTGCCTGTGAGCACTGTAAATTGAAAAAGTTGTATTTTTGTACTGTGGCTGAAGTTGGGAAAGAGTCTGATATTCTTTTTAAATTCTGCAGACAATTTTGCCTCAGGAAAAACTCACATCACCCAAAACTGGGTGATGTTTTTCATTCAGCAATCAAGACTTTTGAAAACCAAATGATCCACCCTCCCCAGATTTCCCCCAAATTAGTGCTTCTGAACCCTGGCAAATTTCAGTGAACTCACATCAAACTGAAATGTACTAGTTGGCAAAACAATCATGACTTTGCTGTAGGATGGAGAGGAGGCTGTTGCCATTCAAAGGTTGAAATATTTCTTTAGTGGCTACCTCTAGCACTGCCACACAAAAAGAAATGAAAACTGAAGGTGCCATAAAGCTTTGATTTTTCCAGGGCAACAGGTTCTTTCCCATTGTGGGACTAAGTCAGAATTTCCTCAGTTGTGCCCACATTTAAATATTGTCCAAGAAAGCCAAGTCAGGTGGCCAAGCACAAAGTTGGACTTTTGTTTGACAAAATGTTTTGTTCAGATTTCCCAATGTTGGACTAGATCCCCTAATTCTTTTTGGTCTCTAAATGGGAACTCTTCCTCTGGAGGCCAGAATGGAAGTGCCAAGAAGCTGGAAATAATGAAACTAATCCAGAGGTGGGATAAAAAAGCACATGCTTGGAATGGTATTTTTTGGGCAGCATTTTTCTTTGGGTTTTAACCTTTGGACAGCGGAGGGTTCTTTCCCATCGCTGGCCAAAATCAGATTATTTTTGTATGCTGTGGCGTTTTAAGTTTTCTGAAAGTCAGAAAAGACCTTCCAGGTGGGCTGAGGATTAATCCAAGAAAAGCCCATTGCTTAGCATAGGATTTTTTTCATTTTCCCACAACATTTTTCTGTGCAAAAAGAAAAAAAACATTGGATTTTTCCCTGACTTTGTCCTTAAATCCCTGTTGCCCTTTTTTATTTTCTGCCCTGAGGTGTAACAAAATTTTGCAAAAATAGTCTGACTTTGCCGCCCAAGGGTTAAAAGAATTGCCAGGATTCCGCCCAGGGTGCACTGCTCTGCTTCTTTTTAAAAGCTTGTTGTACAGGGACCAAATTTTGTGGAAGAAGTTCAACTTTGCTGCCTGCTGAGGCTTAATACACCTGAACATTATTAATTCAAGCCTCTGTAGGTCAAAACTTCTTTATGTCAACATAATATTCATTCTTTGATTTATTATCCCCATCACACTACAATTTTCTCAAATAAACATTGCAGTGCTCTGATGGAAAAATAAAATTTTTGGGTCAGACAAATACTAAAGCAACCCACTCCACACTTGACTTCACTGACCACCACAAGATAAGTAAGGCATCCATTCAAGTGAAACAAATTGATGAGGCAGTGTGCAGCAAAAAAATAAATAAGGAACGCATCCCAGAAAAGGCAAGAGAATTCATGACCGTGACTGATGTGCATCAATTGTTGTCAGCATCACAATTGACTCGATTTAACAATTACGAACCCCATTAAGCCGGAACATGACGAGGACAGAAGCCCGGGTTGCATCGGAATCTGCCTTTATTGGAGTTATTGGAGTGTGATGAATTGGGTGTTGTTTGCCACACTGGCTGCTCCTCATCATTGTGTTTTTCAACTGCTCTTGCAGATGTCGCGCCCTCTTTGCGATTTCACTGCCAATCAATAAGATTCAAAGACAGCAGTCACCAGATATTGAGTGGTGTCCACCTGTGTCTGAACAGTTATCACGTACAGACAGTTGAAGTTGAAGTTGGGGACATGTTACCTGATGTAAGTAGGTTGTCTGATCACGCAGTACCCTTTTCAGACAGTACTAAAATCAGTTATTAAAAAATTAAAATTTTTACTTTTTACCATCAAAGTTAGACCAACAGAAATTCTTTAGGCAGATTTTTTTAAAATTATTCAGTTGAAAAAACTGCCTCCAAAGGTTGTCTGTTATAGGCAAAAATCCCATAGTTGAGGGGTCAGTTAGGCAGGGGTTGACTGTACAGTACTAATGATTTAGAATTTTGTATAACAATCTAGAAAAATTACACTGGGTATATGCCTGGAACATAAAAAATATTTTTAATTGAAAGTTTTAAAATCAAGGGAATCAAGTTCCAAGAAAAAATTTTAATAAAAAATTTGAGTACCAAAGAATGCATTAGCTTTGTTGTGTGGTGACAAACATGATTACTCCCTCAAATTTTATCTTTGTTACTCAGTAATTGAATTGTTGTCCACTTAGAAAATTGATAACAGGGCAGAATAATTGACAAACTGATTGGTGGAGTGTGACCAGCACAACACAGGAAATGGCTGCTGCTGCTGCAAGTCTGCTTGAATTATTTCTGCCACCAGCAGCATCATCAAAAACAGCACTTGATGGAAATAAGGGAAAATGTTAGCAAGCGATGAGGTCATCTCGGATATTGCTTGATGTTTGAATAAAAGTGAGTTCAAATCAAAATCAAAATATAATATACCCTGTAATATACAGAACCTGCAACAGCATGATGAATGCACGAGATTTAAATGTTTCACATTTCTTGCTAAAGAAAAACTTATGAAAGTGTTGAATTATTTTGGTAAGGCTTCTGAAAAATGGGCAGCGTTTATATGGACTCTTAGTACACAGTAAATCAGAAATATCTTCATCTGCCATCAATCATTCTTGCTTCTGGCAGAAATATCAAAAGAAAAAGTTGGATCAAAGAAAGTAACGCATTTTTGGCTTCGGCAAAATGGGCTTGCGTGTTGGTAATAAGTGGATGAAATCGCATCAGTATCAGGAGAAATTGGAGCAAGACTCAGGGCACACGAATGTGCAGTCAGTATAAGTATACATCTAAGCTATATAGTCAATGATCAAATTTGGGTGAATTCATGGGCTGATAATGATTGAATGTCTATAATCATTTGCATGACCTGAGGACTTTAAAGTGGGCCTCAATGCAGCAAGTGTTCAACTAAGATTGAAATGAGGCACATTATTTTGACTCTATTCAGAAGATCCGTCTACTAAGAAAAAATTATGTTTCACTATAAAGCTTTTGTTGATTATGTTATTGCGACAAAATTATTATTTAATGAATTCATATTGGAATTCACGAAATATTGTAAATATCTGTGAATTTTCTTTTGTTCACACATCTTTTTCAAACAGTTTCAATAATTTTCTTTCAGATGTCGGTGATTGATGGCTTTTGGAATCTGCCTTGAAAGAATAATTAAAGGATAGTATAGTGCACTAATTGTTCAAATCAACATCCTCATGAGAAAAAAAATTCTGGAACTATACAGCAAGCAGGGTGAAAAATGTTCCACTCAATCATAAAATAAATTCAAAACTACCTTTTCTTGATCAGCTGAAGTCCAAATTTTCTTTTCTTGTTTTATGTCAGTCCACTCAGGTGTCATTTCATATTAGTTTTCGCAATTATTGCTGTCTCCTTTTTTGATAAAAAAGTTCCAGTATTCAACACATGACATTTTTTGCACTGAATTTATTGGATTTATCCTGAGAAGATCAGATAAATTCCCCAGAATCAAACTAAACGTGTATGCGCCAATTCAGATGTTTTAAACTTATTTCATTTTAAGGTCTGATAGATTTAAAAAATCCCATTTCCATGAGTGGCGAGTAATACTTCTTCAAAAATGATAAAACTATGGGCTCATGACTCCCATACACTCACCTCTCATAGCATGTAAGGTTTTTTCCTCACTCAAATGTAGTACTGTATATAAAACAAAAATGAATAAAATGGAGACTCCGTTCATAAGAGCAAGGATAACAAGAACTTGGGTGCATTTCCAGCATCATCATCAGAAACAACAACAACAATGATGAGCAGAAAAAAGTAAAAACAAAGGGAACCAATAATGCAGGATAATGTATCTTGGAAATTGATGGCACCATATATGGTCAGCAGCTTCTTCATATAGGCACATGAGTTAAAAATAAGAATAGCACCTGCCAAGATAAATATTGTGCAATTAAGTTGACAATGAGGCAAACATTGTAGGAAATTGCAAATGGTACAAAACTTATGGTCCCCAAAGTCCTGCATGGATTTTTTTGATTGATTTGTTCATCCATTAATAGATGCTTGAGTGGCTCAAGTCATCAGTCTTAGGTTTCATCATCCATCAGTCAGGTGGACAACTCATAACTAGTCCCAGTAGCCCACTGGGATGTCAACATAGTATGTGAAGGCACCAAGATTACCAGTTTCTGCACCATAGGCCACCTCATCAGGGTACCAGTCATGATAGGATTCCAAGTGAACATGTGATGGCTCAGGTCCAGCATCCTCCAAAGGCAGTGGGTCAGCATATTGCAAAGCACTGGCTAATTGGTAGCCATGTTGTGCTTCTTCTTGCTTGTGTTGTATGCCAGATGTGGTCAATGAAGAAGATGATGAGGAAGCATAGTCCTCTGGAGGAGTGAAGTACCTGTCACACAAACACACATACAGTACACAGATACATGGAAGTAAATGCAGTAGGATCTTTTTACAATGAAGGCAACTGCAACTTGATGAAAAATTTTGTAAAAATGTGTCATATTGAAACTCAGATGACATGACTGTAATGGAAGAGCCTTGAAAAAAAGTAATTATTGCAAAATAAAGATTCCTGTACATACACATATAATGCAGTATATGTTCACTTCACTCACTCACTATACATTTAAAATCTTTTGTAAAAGCTTCATCATTCTTGTATCTAACATTTTGGAAAGACAATGGCAGTTAAATTACTGCATCTGATGAAAAAGAAGTTGGCTTTCCTCCTAATGACACTTGGACAAAT